TATATATATTTTTAATAAAAGGATCAACAAATATTTCTTAGGAGTAAAATAAATATTTGTAAAATTATATAATTTTACATAATTAATTAAAAATATTATTTTAATGTAGGATTATAATACTTTTTCTACTTATAATTAAATTTTGAATTCAATTCTGATTTCAATGTCCACATTTTTTAAAGAATTTTTTAAATTTTTGTTCATTCAAAATAAAATATTAGTGAAAATTTCGTTAAAAATATTTTTGCATCATTATCATTGTGATTTCGACTATGACATATTCAAATAAGATATTAAAAAATGTACCTTAATTTCATTTTATTCACTATATAAGAATTTATTTTATTTTTTAAACCAATGTTTGGACAAGTCTCACCGTAATTATCAATAATAAATATGAACTTAAATTATTCAAACCTATCTGATTACGTGAACAGTGTTGCAAACCCATTATTATTTTTATATATGATAATTAGGGATGTCAAAAAAATTATACTTTATTTGCTAATAAAACCTGCTACAGGTAGAAAATGATGCAAATAAAATCTGCTACAAGTAAAAAATGAACATTATAAATTTATATTTACAGATATAAATATTTTTTATATCCACATGTTAATAAGATAGGTATGGGTATTATAATACTCATATCCACTAATATTTAATTATACATTTACATATTAAATTTTTTAAAACTTACACAAATAAAATACTTTAATAATTAAAATTAATTTTTAAATTGAAGAATCTTGATTAATAAAATTGTATATAATATTTAAATAATTTAAATATTAGCTTTTAAATTATTATTTTAAAGAAATAATTAAAATAAATAGAAATTATTATTAATATGTTTTTTAAAATTTACTTATTTATTTAAAATAATATTTACGATATACATCCACTTAATAATATATAACCAGGTACAAGATATACTTATCTGGCGAGATCCTAATGATAATAAGACAGCAAGCTGGCATGCCTCTCCGACGCAAACGCTTGTTTTGATGTAGTTGCTCAATTGTACGACTTCAATACCATTATCTTTTAAACGGCAAATATTTGTTAGTATTTTTATGAATTGAGGAGTTTTGAAATAATGTTAGTGTTTTTTGAAATATAGTAAATTATTATCAGTCTAGAACGAAAAATACTTTTGATGCAAATGGAGAATGCATACTGTCATTAAAATGTTATGACTGTCACTAGTGTCAATCGGGTTCTAAAATAAACACATCATTCAAACTACAAGGTTATCTTTATCAACGGATAAGAAGTAATTAATTCATGTTAGACTCCCAAGATAATAAGATTATTGTTAATATTACGCCTCCTAATCAAGCAATGATGCATTAATATTTTTTTAATTCCACAACAAATTCATAAAAGAAATTGTAAAACATGATAAGTAATTAACCAATTATAAAGTGGAAACCTACTAACATACCTTATTTAAAAGACTAGCCTATCATTTGTGAGAAACTTCGTTGGCTAGAGTCAGCCGTTTTCGATATTAGCTTCTTGCTCTGGAAACCTTACCCATCAGCAAGGCATAAGAGACCAACCGTTTCTTTAAATGCGAAAGTATATCATATACTCGTGGTTGAACATTAATGAAGAAAAACCATACCATAGCATAATAATACAGATAATCTGCTACGGGCTCAATAGGCACTCAAATGACAGAACAGTTAATCATTAAGCAACGGAAAAAACTAATATACAATGGACGAGCAAATGATCAAGTGCGCATACAAATGAAAACAGAAAAGATATTCCAACGGAAATCTAAAGTTTTCTTCTGCACAAGGGAAAATTTTCACTTGCATCCAAGAAAATTTTCACAACGGTGTGAGGGCACCGCAGGCCAAGACATCTTAGTTGCCAAATCGACCTCTTCCCCAAGGGAGCCTCCTATTTCCACCTCCATTGCGCTGCACTGCATTATTCTGCATTGACAAAACTTTCATTCTTTGCTCCTTCATGTTTGCAAACAGTGAATCCAACGTCTGAGGCTTCTGCTTTGTCATTATATCTACATTCTCCGGCTGCTTCTGAGGGGAGCGAACCGGTTGTTGCTGTTACAATTGTACCAAAAAGTTGTTTAATAATGGTATGAACAGATAAAAAACACAAACTTCAATATAGATCCACAAAGCCCACAACAATAATCAACATCGAGTGATAGCTTCATTGATTTTGCAAGGTTCCAATCCAACCCCAATGTAATATTTTAATAAGAACTTCCTATTTATCCAATGCTTAATCGGTATGTACCCTTAGGGCACCAAGTAGCAGGACCCAAAAAATCAAATAGAAAGGGAATTATAAAAAGATAAAATGCAAATAAACACTTTCCTATTCAAAATAACCAATCTTTCACATAGCCATTATGTTCACACTACTGAAAGCATTATTTCCTTCAAAATGACATCTTTGATCTTGAATAAATACTAGAGCTAGAAAGTAGACATAAAATCAGCAAAAAAATACCTTTGCAACAAAGCCTCCGTTAGCAGTCCTTCTCTGACCCACAGGAACTCGAAATCTGCAAACAGAAAAAAAGAAGAAGAGGGTAATCCAGGTGAAGAAACACAATACATTCAAAATAATCCATCAAGATCAGTGAGTGTCATCAAGATGTCCAGCACCACCAACTATCATTTCTAATAGAATCAGATACCGCTCAATAGTCTTTCTCTTACTAGAAAAGTTGAGTCACTTACCATAAGATTCTATCTATATCCAACTATAAAGTAGAAAATAGTTTAAACATAAAAGATAACACTGGTCACATAATTGAAGAACATCTCAGTGCAGTGAACAACTTTCAAAATTTCCACAGAAGCCTGCCAGTTGCAACAATTTCTGGAGAAGCAACTTGTACTGCTGTACGAAACTTCTTATTATCATGGAGGCTGTCATATGCATGTAAGACCACTTAAGAATTTAAAGCTTCCACAAGGATAATATTTCCCCATCAGCAACCTCTTTTAGGCACACCTCTGCAGTCAACTAGAAGAACTCAAAACAACTATTAAGAGTGGTCACCATGCTCACACAATGTTTACAAGACCCAGAAGACCTGCCCATTGATTTACTCGGTAGCCAATCACAAAAAGTTCTCCTCAATGCCAAGCCCATGAAGAGACAACAGAATCTTGATCACAGAAAAATATTTTCTTTATCCCAAAAAATGAAGAGATCTTTTCAATTATGTGGCCAATGCTTGCAATCAGTAACTAACTAAGAAGAATTGGTCAACACAAATATTAAAGTGGCGTGATGCAATTTACAGAGCGACTCCATCCGAAAAAATGATTCCATATTTGCATTGCAACTTAGCAAGTGCATGTACCCTTGCAGCATTAACTCAACTTGGATAAACCATCAAGTGATAAAGCCAATAATCAAGGTGGAGAAGTTATATAGCAAATAGATATATCAGCAAGAATCAAGAACCAAGCACAAGGGATACTGACAGCCAATGAAAAAGTAGAAGTCTAAAGGAGTGTGATCATAAATGTAACGCTAAGTTGAGTTCATCCCTTCAAAATGGTTAATTCTCAAATAAAAAGCATGCTTAGTTAGTTAGTGCCACAATCACCACACTTGCTTATAAACAACTGAAATAATGCAGGGTTGTTTTTTCCATGTGAGCCAGCCACTAAATATTGACAATTTATTGTCCTGACTTCCGTGTATATGTGGCAGCAGAGCAGTACACTCCTTCACATTAGGATGATATACTTCAAAATAATTTTAATTTATCTTTTCTAGCAATGTGTCTCCATTGAACCAGATTCCATTTAATTAGTAACCCATTTGCATCACCAGCCAACACAACCATATAACTCCAATTATCTAGCATGAACATCAACATAACCCACTTAAATGTTGGACAGCAGTTTTACGAGATTATAATGCAAGCATTCAATTCAGAATTCCACAACATAGCTGGCTCTCATTCGTGAAGTCAATCAAACTCACTCCCTTTGCAGAGAAAAAAAATCTTAGATATGGAAGGCACGTTAAATTGGGCCATGTTTTACCTGAAAAATTCAATTAACAATTATTGTTATGAATGCTACAACACACAAGAACATCATTCAGGGTAAAATGTTCATCCCTCAAATGTCTCTCTCATTCTAACAGTAAACACGAAGAACAAAATTCAATTAAACAACATAATACCTTGCTTTGTTCCAGTTAGCGACCCTATTACGATTAGGAACTCTATTGCGCAGAGGAGCCGTAACAGCTTTTCGCGCAACTTCAACTGCAACTGGAAATTGGTTTCCACGGAAATTAGTCCTTCTTTTTGCAAGAGCCCCCTGATTACAACATTTTTAAACAAAAGTATTAGAGACTATTACACACAGACAACCTAAGAACCTACAAATAATTGTGCTTCTCATAAACTAATGCACCTGTCTAAGAGAAGATCTTGATTCCATATAACGCAGGACCTTTGAAGACTTGTCTTGAGTAAAATTGTTCGAAAACTTTTGACTTTTGTTCTGTATGAGTATGAGAATAAAGAGAATGGTAACCACCATGTATATTATAAAAAAGCAGCAACACAACAAGAAAGTGGAAAACAATTTTTCAGAACAAATACTTACAGGAACCCGTCTTTGCTTCCTATTCTTCGTATTCTTAGACATTTTGATTATGTCATCTACAAATATCAACAGGCAATGGATAATAGATATGTCACAAAAAGTATAAGAAAACACAGTCGTGTTTCGTGAAGCACACCTAGTGTCATGTCCATCTTCTTTTCTGTAAGCGCAATTGCCTCAGTCGTAAGGGGTTTGGCTGCCATCTAATAATGTGCATAGAAATATAAATTAATACAACTGTAAATATCCCGATAAATATAAAAACAAAAACTATAAGTCGAGCACCAAAATCAGCTACCAGGAGCAATACTAAAATAAGGCCGGTCACAAAAGAGAACACGATTTCATTCCAAGATTTGCGTAGAAAGAGTAAAGAATCACAAAAATAAAGTACAGACGACAACTAATCATCACATGGGGAAAAATATATAAAGGAATCAATAAATTAAAATGACCTAAACACATGCAAAGGGGCAAGATACATAAATCGTTCGAACGAAAATTCATGGAAAGAAAATCAACAGATTTAACAAAAAGAATCGATGATTCTCAACTACGCCGTCCAAAAACCCTAATAATTAAACATCCCTGATTCTATGCAAAATTAAAAAGATAATAAAATTGCTTTGATTTACTGTCTAAATGGATTTAAAAGAATAAAGAAAGGAGAGCAAAAATCGTATCATGAGATTCCAACTTTCGATGAAAAACGATGTCTACAGAAGAGAGAAAAGGCTTACTCTTCGGCGGCGCAGGTGGATTTGAAGAAGTGAGGAGGTGTTGCAATCGAACTCAGTTAGGGTTTTGATTAGCACTCGAAACCAACGAAAAGAATACAGAAAATCGCGTAGAGAAAAAATCGTAGGTAAAAGGGAAGACTATGCTAAGGTATTTATTTATGCTATTGCTATGTATCCGATTATGTTTATGTACTACTTCATTCCAATCAAAACGTAACACGTGGCATAAGACAATTATATTAAGGGCAAATTACTCTGCTTTTTTTTTTTTGGTTGATTTACTCTGTCCATTCATTTTTATTATTTTATTATTTAATATACCTAGTTAGGGAAACAATATATTTATAGGAATATATATATATATATATATATATATATATATATATCATAATGTTGTACAAATTGAGAAAAAAAATTATAGTCAGTTCGGTTAAAAAAAGAATGATATTACGTGAAAATTTATCAAATTTTAAGAAAATTATTATATTAATTGAGAAAATTTTGTTATATATATTATAAAATAATTAGTCTTATAATAATTTTAGAAATTAAATTTAGAGTAAACTTTTACTGATTCTCCTCACATGGCAAATTAATGAAGTGTACTTGCTTTCTTTTGTTATTATGCTGTCTTTACTTTAAAATTAGGATTTTTTCATAATGTTTCAAGTCCGTTTACTATGTAGTTTGAAAGTCGGTTAGTTTAATTATGTTGAATTTTTTATTTAAAACAATATATATTAAAAGTGATAATTTTAATATAATTAAGATAAAGATTAATTTCTAACAAAATTGATAAATACTATGTGATAAAAATAATAATAATAAGTTGGTATGATTAAAATAAGATAACAGCTTGATATGTCGGGTGTCTCAAACCCGCGGCATTTACGCGTTACCATTTTTATTATAGTTGACCATTTGACCCAGGAAAATAAGTTACTACAAACTTAGAATGCGTTGATTTTTTTTTAATAATAACCAGTATATTTTTTTTTTGTTATATAAATAACTGGTATTTTAATATATATAATATCTAAACAAGTATTTATTTTATATAATGAAACTTTATAATAAATAATTATTTTAATAATAAAAATAAATATATTTACATATATATTTTAAACTTAAAATTAATAATAATTAACTTATATTATCAAATAAAATTTTTTAGCAACTGATAATTTAATTTAAAAATAGATTAAAAGGTGCAAAAATAAGTTAAGAAAAATCTAAAAAAGAATATCTCATTTAGGAAAAAAATTTAAAATTTTTTTTATTCAATATTTTCTAAAAGTGTTCTTATTTAATGTAATCATTAATATTATCTCTAGAATAGCAGGGGGAAAAAACCCTTTACACCACTTAATAATTAAAAATAAAAATTAACTAAAAAAAAGGTATTGAAATAAGTTGTTATGACTGGTTATTCAGACATAACAATTTTTTTTAACATTTGAGAGATATAATAATTTAAAGAAAAAAATAATTATACACTTTTTATCTCCTTTATAATAAATACTAACAAAGAAAAGAGATATTTTGTACATCTATATATATATTTATTATTGAAGAATTTTAAGAGAAAATAATTGTAAAAAAGATATATATTCAATTAAGGATAAAAATATCTAATAAAAAATAAAAAATAAGGAGATGACTACTAAACCGTGTCTTCTTTATAATAACCAATAAGTATAGGTATAAATTAGAATAATTACAGATAATAATTTTGAATTATTCTTCGATTAGAGATTTTTTCTTTGATATTTTTCTCTAATAAGAATATTTCAGGAATTTTTTTTAACTTCTTATCTTTTTAATATTTTTTTTTCATTTTTATGTATAAATTGAATTTTAATATTTTTAAATAAATTATTATTAGTTAAAAATAATTTTATATCACAATATAAGTTGTTTATCATACATATAAAATATAATATATGTGTTAAAAAATATATTAATTCTATTGATAATAAATTAGCAAAGTGAAAAAATATATTAATGACCTTACTCTTTTATTTATAGGAAATAGATAGAAGTATGGATAAAAAAGAGGACAGAGGAATGCAGTATCATATATGTCTTACAACGTGATTATGGATTTTCTCTTTGTTTCGACACTGTAAGTGTACAATAATACTATTAGGTTTTTCTAACTAGTTTCTTAATGTTCTGAGAAGTAGTTGAACCAACCGCATTTCCTTTCATATTGGAAACATTTGAGACAACAAGTGTGGAGAAGCAAAAGCCAAACATGGTATAAGACGCGCTTATGGGGAAGAAAAATCAATAGGAACCCCTCGCACTTTGCCAATTATTCATTTCTTACAAGAACTAGATGCTTCCATCGTTCACATGGTTGACAGTTTACATATTTTTGTTTTTATGATAGAATGACCCCACGATAAAGAAAGCCAGTATTAAGTTGCTTGGGGGCGAAAACCACAAAACGAATAGCAAATTCATCAATTTAAATGATCCATCATCAAAATTGCAAAGTTTAAAACCGAATGGAATGAGTTGTAAGTGACAAAATAATCATCAGTGTCTATTCAATTACTGCTTATGTGGTATGTACAACAAAGAAAATGGCATTAGTGTCATATTTACACAATCTTAGCTTTTAAGCCATCTCTATTGAACCAAACAAGGTGTTACAACTCTATTGAACCATTGGGAGTTGATTTATCAGATTCCAATTTACAGTCAGAATGTAAAGCTGATAACCACGAGTCAACCTGAAAGAGGAATAATCAATAAAATAAGGATGTTAATCATTTAGTGCTTGCTCAGGGAGTAAAATGTAACAATAATAATAATAACTACTTAGACACACCTGTATCTTAGAACTGCTTGAGCATTCATATCGTAAACCATGACGAGTTAAAATATAAAAGGCGTATCGCATCTCATCATCTTCACGCTTAAAACTTGGTAGTTGCTCTACTTCAACAATATCAGATAGGAGAGTTGAATCCTGAGGACTTAGATCTGCAATTTACCCCCTTCATCACCAATTGTAAATGAAAGCCAATCATCTAAAATCTTGAGCATAAATATATTTAGTAAAGCCAAACAATTCTCAATATTTTGAATATTTATTTTTTTCCCTATTTGGCAACACATTTTCGAAGTTCTGGTTCCTGCTTGGATGTTTAATGAACCAAATTTCATTATGAAATGTCGATTTTCAAGAATAAAAGTCGACGACAAACTTAAAGCAAGTATAGGAAAATTAACTAACCAAAAGAGAACAGGACGTGTTCTATAATACCAAGGATTATATGAAAAAGAAATTATACAAAAGTAAACGAACAAGTTTGGAAATTAGGAGGTTTCAATACTTTCATATCTCATTCACCATAAATGGGAAAAGTAAAAATGTAACTTATCTACATGAGAAAGGTCAGTCCAAGAAATCTACATGTTCAGGTAAGTAATATCATGCCTTTAACTCGAAAATGAAGATCAAGTCACTCATCAGTAAACAAAATATAAAGAAACAAGGCAATCCACAAAAGTTTAGTGGACTTGAAAGTCTTAAAACAGTTTAAGTACTTCTTCATGTTTAGCAAAACTTGTATGCAAATATAATCGATGACATTATTGACAACAAAAAATTTCCTCACTTGCATTTTGTCATATAATTTTTTATATGCACTACAGAATTATCATTATAGATTTTTGATGAAGACCAACGCAAACATCCAGATTATACAACGTGAGTAATAATATATTATGTCGGTGCGAAATCAAAAAATAGAGGGGAGTGAAAGAAGATATAAATAACACAGATTCATTGCCCTAAAGTTGAACATATGAATTGGAAAGCAAAATAAATATGAAAAATGCAAACCAAAGTAGAGAAAAATTTATAAGGAGTAACATATTTGACAAAGGTGTTACAGCAAGAACTACAACTCTGCATATAAAATAGGAGTTGATAGCAAAAGAAGGATAAGAAGAAAAGCGCAAGGAGAAGAAGAAAAACAAATAACCACATTACCTGTACATAACAAATAAAAGTATAGGCATTCACCATGAAGAACAACAAAGCGAGGAAGCCAATCATCTACATCAGAATCATCTATAGGTGGAGGTTCTCCTGGAAGTGCTGTCCATCTCTGTAGCGAAAAGTTAAAAGAAAATTAGTACCAAGCCTGTTAGGTAAATAATAAAATGATGCACAAAACCAAAGGAGGTTGTTCAGTAAGTACTGTTCGAATGTACAAATAACCAGATAGACAAGCTGACCGCAAAATTTCATCAACATTTTCCAACCTGGGAGAAACAAAAAGATTAAAATTACTTAAAGAAAGCACATTTGTGTCTCGTAAGGCATGTTAGAATCACTATTAAGGAGTGACACAGAGAGCAATGAAAGAAAGAATGAAATTAAACTTCATTCAACCCTTAGTACCCAAGTAATCACACACGTCTAGAATCTAGAATCCAGATCTATGGCTAGCATCTGAATTGCTAGCCTTGTTATATTCAATGTCAATATGTCATTGGCCTTCCGATCAAAAGAGAAAAACATTAACACATGAGGAAAAATAACCCTAAGCAATCAGCTATATGAGAAGTGAGAACTTATATTACATTGTAAGACAGAAAAGACTAAAGTTACAGAGCACTTACTGAGCTCTCAATTGAGCTGCCCTTTCTTCTATATCAGCAAGTTCTGATCGTAGTGACTCTACTTCAGCAGCTGTTAGCTCAACCTACAAAATATAATTTGTCTAGTTAAGATATAAAAGAATATTCACCAATGACCTAAGGGGCACTGCACAAAAGCTTCTCAATGCAAACCTTTTCCTGACCACCAGTGCTGGGGAACCATGGCAGCCCCCGAAAAGTAAACAACTTCAACATCGAAACTGCCCTTAATGTTCTTTGAGTCCACAGATGGTATTGAGACCTAAAGTAAGCTTATTGAGTGGTTGATTTCAAATAGAATCAAACTCTCCTAATGACTTTCTGATCATTGGTTCCTTAATCCTTTCCCCTTTTCCACCAGGATACAATACCTCAAGGATTTAGCAGTTCCAGGTTTTGTAATGGAAGGCGTTCCGTTCTCAAGAGATTCTAAAACAGATGTTGGAATCCAAAAGTGATCAGGGATGACCTTTAGTTCCCAAGGACCATCATCCATGAAATAAACCCTCTGAAAGAACGAAAGATAAACTCATATCAGAGGAAGAGGGGAAGATAGTAATGCTAAGTGCAAAAAGTGAATTATCCTGAAACATTAACAATGTCAAGAAGTCATATATGAATTAAGAGTCTGTTCGAAACAAGTTTAGAAAGATTTTGAGAGTTTCTCTATTAATTTTTTTTTTTTCATATGAAACATGATGCTCAACTAAAATAGTTTGACGCAACGACTAAATCCCCAACCCCATTCATCAACTCGACATAATTAAAATTAGAACAGTCCAACAAAGGTAAAAAGAAAAAGATAGAGAGAGATAAAATAAATAGGCAGCAATCGAAAGCAACTGAAAGGCACAACGATCAAAGTAGTTCAAGCCATATTTCCTGATTTAACCCCAAATTCTCCAGCGGAAAGGATCGAAGAGAAACTGGTATTGTATAATATTAATACTAATATGAATGAATCATTTATTAGGCTGGGAATTGGGAAAAGAAGAAAGAAAAAGTTGGAGTCCTAAATAAATTAAACAAGTGGTACACAAGGTTGAAGGTCAGAACCGTGCAACCAATGATTCTTCTTAGTAAAAGAATATTAATAGAATTGAAGTTAATACAGAAAAAAAGAGGGAGCAGCAGGAGAAGGAGGATAGATGATGCTTACGCAAACGAATTTCAGAGTAAGTCTAAGTCAGCGATAAGGTTAAGTTAAGATTGTTCGGTACACTTGTTTAGCTGTTTACCGCGGTTTATTGTTTGTTGCATTGCACATTTGCACGAACACACTTCGCTCCTTCTGCACGTGCCCCGCCGCAACGCAAACACTATAAATCTACTTTTAATATGTATCTTCTTTTATCACCCAAAATATATATAATAATTATCTTCTACTTTTATTTTTAAAAATAATTATCTTAATTCTTTATCTTTTAAATCGATTAATTTTATCCTTCCCAAACAGTTATCATTTTTGTGACATAATTTTAAATTATTTTTAACTAATTTAACATACAAAACTTGTCTTATTATATTCGTTTACATAAAAATTATTAAACCATTTGAATAAAAAACTATAAACTTAATAAAAACTATGTGGAAAAAAAAATTCACAGACAATTAAAAAAAATTATAATAATAATTTATTTTAATTTTTTATTATTTATTAATTCCATTTTTACATTATTTTTATTATGTTTATGACTTGTTTGAGGTTTTTTTAGGTCCTATTATTAATGAGATATTGTTTAGTCTTTTACGGGAAATTTATTGGAATTATTTTATAAGATCTTAAAACTACAAAATATTATTTTAAATTTATTAAAATAATACATTTTAACTTTTTATTATTATAATATTAAAAATATTTTTAGATATGTTATTGATGACGTGAGAAATTAAAAATATATTTAAATATTTTTAATATTGAGGTAAGATATTAAAAATATTTAAATATATTTTTAATTTCTCACGTCATCAATAACATATTTAAAAATGACAGATTGATACAATTATGCATTATTAGTTAGTCATAAATAACATATCTAAAAGTGACAGATTGAAACAGTTATGCATCATTAGTTAGGTTTAATGTTATATTTTCACTAATAAAAACACTTATAAATAGATTTTGTGCAACAGTATTTAAATTTTTTTTAGTAAAGTTTGAATATAAGTACTAAAATAAAATTTAAAGAAAAATTACAAAGACTAAAAATAACAATTTTAAATTTAAGGGATAAAAACAAATTTATCCTAAATTTGAGGGATTTAAAATATATTTAAATTTTTTAAAATTATAACAATTATCTCTTAATAATTTTGTAGAACAAGATGGCGATTTATGATGTTTGAATAACTTTATACTACATCAGTCTGAATGTACACAACTTTTTATTTTTTTCTTGTCTCTTTTTATAAAACTGTCTTTTAACTATCAAACTTATTAATTATATATTTTTAAAATACTCATTCAATAAATAATTTTTTTAAACAAAAAAATTAAATACTTAAAATCAAATGGATAAAAAAAAAACTCTATTTTATTAAGATTTGAGAAAATAAATAAATACATCTTTTTTAAACATTAATTAACTAGGTTCAGAGACTAATTAAATAAATAGAGAAAAAGTTAATTTTGAAATAAATAATTTGAGTTATTAAAAATTTTAATATTCTTAACTAAATTAACTAGTTTTATCAAAGGGTATAATTTAGTTAAGAAGTCTTGATCCCTCCTATAAAAATTAATTAATTATGAACCCTAATAATTAGGTTTTTTTACTCAATGAGGGTCATTATAGAAACTTATTACGTAAATGAAATTGTTTCTAAACATATTATTACTTTGATATAATTAATGAAAATATCACTAGTTGAGTTAACATTATCCTTTGTCACATCTTTTTTTTTTACAGATAACTCAAAAGTGGAGTTGAAATCTGGTGTGTCAATGATGATCTTGCACTCAATTCCAACATAATAAATAAGTGTTGTTACTTCGAAGTGGGGATCATTTTTTTTTCAGTGTTGTTACCCCATTAAAGGACTAGTACAGTGCCCACAGTCATTATCTCTATTAAGAGACTAGCATCGTGTCGATTATACAAGTGTTGCCACCCAACTTTGGATACTAATTTTATTTTCTGAAGTCTTGAAGTATTGCTACCCAACTTTGGACACCAATTATTTTTCTTCTAGTATTGAAGTGTCGTTAATTCATTAATTTATTACAAATTTATATTTATATAAAATTAAATGACATTATAAAATAATTTAATGTAAAATTTTATTACCTATTAATTATTTACACTTATTATTTATATATGTATATAATTAAGTAAATTTGTTTTTATTAATTATTAATGTATAAATTTATATGTAAAAATTTACGGATGAAAAAATTTTAATTAATAAATTTTATAAAAACTTCAATATTTATATAAAAAAATTGTTGTCTGGACAACAACACTTCAAGACTTAAAAAACAATTTGGTGTCAAAAGTTGGGTAGCAAACTTCAACTAAAAAAAAAACAAAAATTGGATCTTAATGGAGATAGCAACACTACTACAATCAACATTATAATAGTCTCCCAATGAAATTATCCACATTAGGACAGTCGACATTGTACTAGTTCCCCCCAATGAAAATAGCAACACTATTATTTTAAAAAAATAAAAAATTCTCACTTAGAAATAACAGAGAATACTATATTAACCAACGACAATCCTATTAATCACGCCAGAATTATAATATGTTTGGCAACAGTTCAATTTACCTAATAAGTTTTCATACACACCTCCTTTGGGTCAAAAAGCCTGGGTAGATTGATAGCTGCTCCGGTTTAAGTAGTTATTTCTCTGAACATATTAACAAGAGGTATAGGTTCAGACTCAACGGTAGAATTTTTGAAGAATTATACGAAGTATCAGACGTTAGCTTTTGAGATCCACAAGTTGAAGGCACATCTTCCAAAACACCTTTGTCCTTGCTAATGACAGTATCTGGCTTGGCTGCTTTCCAACCGCCCATATTTCTTCAGGATATAAATTTAGAAAGAAACATATCTCAAAGCATGCCTTACAAATAAACTGTTATTATCCTTTTCACTATTTATAAAATCCAACTTAAAATAATTATTTAATTTTTTATATAAGACTCGATTCTTATTCTCTCCTATATTAATTTTTTTAGATTAAAATATTTTAATTAAAATGTATTCTCTTAATTTAATAAAATACATTATTATAAAATCTTTAAAAATCATGTACTAATTAATTAAGAGAAAGATGAGTATTAATCAGAAAAGAAAAATAATATAAAATATACATTTTAATTGATTAGAAAATATGAATATTAATTAAGAAAATCAAGTAATATAAGAATAATTTTTTTAAAATGTATATATATATATGACAAATTTATTGTGATTAACTATTTTTCTTAATTTTGATAAATTAATTACTTGAGTTTTATATATTCAAACGGAGATAGTACATCACAGTTCACAAATATAGTTTACCTTCGGACCATTACACCAGAAGTGAAATAAATAGCATAAAGTTCTGTAAAGAATTCGTCAGGGATTGTCTTTAATTATTGATATGATTAGGAACGAAAAAGGGTAGGGGACCATCAGCATTTTGAAAAAATACTTTCTTTCAGAAGGGAATAATGACAAAATGATTCAGAAGCAAAAGACCACAATCAAATGCTAACAAGCACCATATAAATGGCATCATATTATTTATTATGTTGTAAAATGAATAAATTGTAAGATCTCTCAAACTCAAGTCTTGTTTCTACTTTACAAAGGATTCATTAAGATTTATAGCCTGAGTTAATTTTTTCCATGCAACAGAAACATGCAGCAAATGGTTGTCAGAAGCCTAAACCTATTAGTTCAGCGGGACATCCAACATTTAAAAACAAAAGGAAAAATAAAGTAAATCGGTAAGTCTACATCCTTATAGAGATACTTTAGTTTCAGAGAAATATGGATTATTATCAACATCAACTGATAGTATGGTATGATTTAACATAAAACCTGGCAAGTCCATTAAAAAAACGCCACATTTTTTATTTTCCAAATACTGCATATAAATCTCACAAAAGACTGAATTACAAGATCGCAATAAAAAGGATAAGAGAAGTCAAAACACCACATTCAAAGATACCAACCTCAGCAGAAGACTCAAGACCGAGATGCTCCTCGTGAAACCAGTCCTCACATTGACAGCACAGTATCATCTCTACTTGTTCTTAAGCATCTAGATCTGGATAAGGGCGACCACATGTACAATAGGAACCATTAAAGTTGAGATTGTATGAATTCTCAACATTCTCTACATCTTTATTTTTGGGAAAATCTTGCAGTAGAATTCACCAAATTTTGAATTCCCACAATCACATCTGAAGTTTCTTTTTGTCCATAGCTCCCCACAATCTTCAGAACACAGCAACAACAAAACCATAGGTTATCAGTATGGATATTGATCGACACAAAATTAAACTGGGTTTATATACAGCTCAAGCTATTTCACATAAAGTGTATCAGTCCGGTATCAAAACATGCCCAATATAAGTGACACAGCATATAATACAACATTTCAAAGATAATCAACTTTATGTCCCAGAAGAAAAAAAAATTCTGGTCACCATAAATAACTGTTTTAATCCTAATCATGATTTACTTGTCAGTTAGAGAAAGAGTGCAATGGTAACATTATTAGCATATAATCATCATGGACCCAGCAGACTCTAGATAAAACATCTGGAGTCAGGGACGGATACAGAGGGGCAGGTGGTACTCCGGTGGCCTCTCCAAAGGCGGCATAATGGTGTCCATAGAAGGCAGCTAGAGAGGGTTATTGGTGGGGGCTCACAGTGCTAGGTTTTTCAAGTGTTCAAACCTCAATTTGAACTTGGTGTTACAAGCTGCCTTGGTTTATATTTTTCCGGTGGCTTCTTCCCTTAATAATATTGTGGCGTGAGACACAAACTCCCATTTTTTGGCCCCTCATTACTTGTCCATTTTATGGGGAATTTCGTCGAACACCTGCTATGCAAACACAAACACATATAATATAAAGTTCCCAACATAGATAAAGGAAAGCAGAAATGAATTGAAATTGAATAGTGAAGTTGGGGTGTGGAAGAAGAATGCATAGAAGGATTCAGAATCATTAGAATAAATGGATACCTTCTCAACATCCCTGGCTCTCCATTTCTTCGCAAAATTGAAAAAGATTATCAGCTCCTAGTTAGGATTTATTTACCGGTCGAAATTAGACAGACTGCAACAAGAGAAATGGAATTTTTGTAGCGTTTACGAAAATTTAACTCAAATTAGGGAAATAATATATATTGGAAAAGCATATATTATACTATATTATTAAATAAATTAAAATGTATATTATGTAAAATTTTATCATTTTTTTAATCAAATTTTAAGAAATGTAAGTTTAATTTATTTATTTATTCAAGATAAATACGAGTTTAATTTACTCTTATTTTAATTTTATTCTCAATACGATTTCAATCTACTATATTATAATATTTTAAAATTAATTAAAAATAGATTAAAATATTTTTTTCGTCAATCACATTCAATCATAATAAATATTAATCGTCTACAAAATTATCTAAACTCTTCATTTTTTTCCTCTCAAATTATTGAATAACACATTGTTATCTCAAAAATAAAAAAGGTAAAGTATTTTAAGTTAAAGAGATTAAAAGGTAAAATAAATAAAACTAGCCTTCTAACCTTAAAAATATTGTTACACTGTATTTTTATGCTATTATTTAATTATAAACTGTTATATATAAGAAAAATGCCAGTTTTTTTGTAAAAATTTAAAAGTCATATTTTGAGTAATTTTAATTTTTTTGGTGAGCAGAGTAATTATTAATGCATTGATAAAATAAAATTTTTCAACTAAAATATAAAGATATATTGAAAAAAAATTTATTGTCTGCGCTATGCAATTGATCAGGCAAAGGCCCAAAGTAATTATATTTTGGCAGAGTAGTTAGAGAAATTTAAAAGCAAGAGCTTGAGCTCTTTAGACTTCATATTTTGGCAGAGTATTAATTAGAGGAGTCAAAGTGTGGCATTTTCCGCTGTCCACTTTAGGAAATACAACACAGCAGATGAAAACACGAGAAGCAAAACTTTAAACTTATTTCTCCAGTATCAATATTCGATTTCCATCTGTGGAAAAATTAATATGGTTTACAATTTCAATCCTATGCATATATCAATTATTGACAATTAAAATCGGTATATTGTTTATGCCAACACTCGGCAACAAATAAGAACCATCAAACATGGATGATTTATAAATGATCAATTACAGCTACAGAAAATGAGTGCACGATATAGTCTGGCCTTCAAACACACTCGATTAGAAGCAGCCGCCCAACTGCCACAAGACAAAAAAAAAAAAAGTTTCTATTAGCAATAGAAACAAAACAAACAACAAAATCTTTTAGAGATTCAACATGAATTGATTACCCAATTACCATAAATAACATCAATAATCAAATGATTGAGCAAACATTCTAGTAGAAGGCTTGAACGATCATAGAAAAGGTGAAAATGAAAAGAAAAAAAAAGGCAGAGAAAAGAAACAATAATCATAGACTAGAGGAATAATTAGTAGCACACTTCAGTAGCATTTCCTTAAAGTCATGGACCAAATAGGAATATAACCTTTCTGATCCAAAATTAAATCATTTAAAACCAAACCCTTCGGAGAAGAAAAACTAAACCAAACCACTTTTATAAGTGGGTCAGTTTGGTATTTTGAAAAAGGAAAAAAGACGAATTATATAAATATAAAGTAAATAACCGAATTGCACTGAACTCATTCATTGAAGAAACAATCCTATCAGCTTTTATAATAATTGAATCGATCCACTTAATAAAAATAGATAATTAATCGATCTGTGTTTATAAAATTGATCAATTCAGATTGATTCGATGTATTGAAAAATGCAAACCGTGAACAGCCCTAATCATCTATATACAAGCAAAAGTGACACTTGTAATATGAAGATACGGATAACCTTCAAGGTGATTCTACATACCAAAATTGCCTCAATCTCCTCATTGGACATGGGAGTTCTTTTGGGTTGAAGAGAGGCCTTCCCTCCAAGTGAGGTTGAGGCTTTTGAACTTGAAAAGAACGTTATACTAGCATCAGTTGCTGAAGACGAAGCTTGAGTCCCAGGTGCAGATCCTGCAATGAAATTTTTAAGAGAATTGTACAATTTACACATTGTCTAAAAAAACACTAAACAACTACGGATATAAAACTCTTCACAAATATCTAACTATTATGAGTCAAAAACAGTAAAAGAAACTTTAAAATTGCACGATACCCTATTAAGTTTTCTGATCAAACAAACTCGGTTGCTATTGTAGTGCCTTCTTTGACAAGATTTATCAGTGAAGGAAAAGGAAGAACCAAGTTTAAACTATCGGTGTCAAATATTATGATCAGATAGTAAATAATATAGAGTTTGCAGGTTACTAACACCTGTCAGCATGGTGGTTTTTGATGTTTGCACAATTTTGTACTTGCTATTTCATAGGATTGGTAGATAACCGCTATTTCTACGGCTTAATTAGTTATTCCTGTAAACATAATAACTAGTTGCTAAAAACACAATTGATTTTAAGATTATTGTGCAGAGAACTTTCACTCTTGGGAGATGTTTGGGTTCTCTCTAACACGCCCAAACTTTGCTAGCAAAATAGGATAAAATGGAAGAAGTCAGAAAACTGGTATTTCCCAACTAGACTTCACTGTTGAAGGTACTTTAACCACATCTGATGGACTGGTTCATAATAATTAGAAAAACCCTTCCTAAAAATGAACTGGACAACATGTCTATATAACATTGTTCAAAACTTTGGGAATTGGTACTATTAGCATTAACCTTACGTATAAATAGTGTGAATTACTAGTTTTACTTTGTATTGTAAATAGATATGAACCTTTTTTGACAAAAAAAAAAAGACTATGCTTCTGTTTAGAGGTGCTTCTTTAGCATATCGGTCTATTTTCATAAATAAATTAAATATTTAAATAATAAATTTAATTAATAATTAAATATTAATTATAAAAGAGATTATTTTAAATTTAATAAAAATTGAATTAAATTTTTTAACATTTATTTATGAATTAGCATGAGTGTTCCTTAACGGTATGTGAGATGCCTCAGTATTAATCATGCTTTGTTTATCATGATAACACATCAACAGATATGGCCATCTAATGAAATTTAACGTTTCATTGGAATAATGGGGTCAACAAAGATTGAACCCTAGAGGGCTAGACCCCTTCGTCATAGAGGCTCTGATTGCACATCATGAACCAACACTCCCAAAAAATTATTTAAACAAAGACAATGAATGGCTCAGGAATGAGAAAGGATTGTAAAACTAACAATAATTCAGGTAGAACAGAGGTAGACGTTAGAAAATGTGAAACGTAGGGCAAGGCATCACAATATATATATCGTGAAAAGCTAGAGAAATGCAAGTGCAAAGCGTAAATGAAAATAAGAGTTGCAAAACCCTAGGAAATTGAAATGAATGAGATAATGGCAAGTAAATTCTGAATTGAATAGCAAAGGAAACGCAAATGTTGATGAAAGAGAGAAGGAATATGAGAAGATTACCAGAGGGGTTGGGATGTCTCTGGGGGAACTTGATGCGAGGGATTCTTTTCATGGCTTGACCTCCACCCATGCCTGAGAGCCTGAGAGCCTGAGAGCCTGAGAGCCTGATCTAACAACTAACAATTTTCTTCTACGGAGAATTGTATTTCTGTTGCGTTAAAACTCCCACCCAAGCACCGTCCACGACCCCTTTGGGCCTCGGCCTATGTGAGAAAGGGAATTAAAAAAAAAAAAAAACAAAAAACAAAAATTGGACTCCAGGCTCGATTTCTTTAATGAGACATTTTGACTCAAAAACAAAAACTAAAAAAAAAATTATAAACTCTCTTTTTTTGGGGGTGTTCATGAGTCAGAACTCTTGGAATTTGAATAAAAATCTGATTTCCGATTTCATAATTTGTTTTGCTTAATCCGAATTGAACTAATTTAATGTTAATCGGGTTGGTTCGGTATAGGTTATTGGATCCAATGAGTTTTAAAACAAAAAATAAAAATAAAAAAAATTTATTTTTCAAAATAAATAAATTTTTTAATATTAGTTGTCAAAAATTAACTAAATTGATATATTTTTTATAAAGTTTATTTTGATTTCTTCTCTTAATTTACTTGAGAATTTCTAATGCACTATAATGTGTGAAGATAATATTCAATTATAATTTTTTCTTGATTTCTTTAAGTACTTGAAAAAAAGAATGAAAAAAATCTACATATTAAAATATAAAAACAATTTCAAAATGATATACATAATAATTGTTAATCCTAATAAAAAAAACATTAATATATAAATTACTTAATTTGATTCAGAATTTAAATATATAAATATAATATCCAAATTAATCATTATCAAGTTTAATTGGTTTGATTTGGATAAGATCCAAACAAAAAACATTTTAAACCAATTTAATTAATTCACTAGTGGAAAAAAGACTTTTAAAATCGGTTATTTTTTAACTTTTAAAATCGGTTCTTTAACCGATTTTGAAAGAGCCGATTTTAAAAGTTAGACTTTTAAAATCGGTTAAACAACCGATTTTAAAAGTTAACTTTTAAGATCGGTTGTTTAATAACCGATCTTAAAAGGCTGGTGGGGAAAAAAATTAAACTGGAACGGGCCGTTCCAAAAATGGAACAGGCCGTTCCAGTTTAACCAAAAGACCTAAATTTAATTTTAAGTACGGCCTGTTCTCCTTGGAGAACGGCCCGTTCTCCAAGGAGAACGACCTGTTCCCAATGGAGAATGACCCGTTCTCATTGGAGAACGACCTGTTCCTAACGTTCTCCAAGGAGAACGGGTCGTTCCAAGTTTGAAATTTAGCCAAAATGAGCCTGAAATAGAGAGAAAAAAAAGCGTGAGAAAATGAAAAGAGACACAACAAGAACATGAGAAGACGAAAATCAAACGAAAATAACAACAAAATTTACCTTATTTGAGACTTTAGAAAATGAGAGCATCATAAAAAGAAGAATGAAAGGAAAGATTAAAGAGAATGAGAATGGAGGGGAATATAAAAGATTTCTGACGATACTTTTAAAATCAGTTATTTTAGAACCGATTTTGTATGTACAAAATCAGTTCTAAAATAACTGATTTTAAAAGTAGCACTTTTAAAATCGGTTTTTAAATAACCGATTAAAAACCGATTTTAAAAGTGGCACTTTTAAAATCGGTTATAGAATAACCGATTTTAAAAGTACTTTTAAGATCGGTTATTTTATAACCGATCTTAAAAGTGACACTTTTAAGATCAGTTCTTTTATAACCGATCTTAAAAGTACTTTTAAGATCGGTTAAAATTAAATTTTAACCGATCTTAAAAGTGTTCATTTTATTTACAAATTTGCCACCGCGTCACTTTTAAGATCGGTTACCTTATAACCGATCTTAAAAGTCCGATTTTAAATTCAATTTTTGCACTAGTGATTTGATTTGAATTATCAAGTTGGTTAAGTTAATCTGATTTAATGAACACCCATATTCTTTTTAATAGTTTCATTTATCATCTTCTCTAATTCTTTTAACTACACAAGATAAAAATAAAATTAAAAATTAAAAAATTATCCCTTTTTTTTTTAATTTATCAACCAAACACATTGAATATTGAACCAAGTGCCTTGTGAATAATGAGTTAAAAACAAGGCGAGATGAAGTAACCCTCGAGGTGATGGTGCTAAAAATCCATCTATCTAGCTTAAGATTGGGTTCACCAGATGAAATGTCTATCCATCCCCTAAAGAAGCCTTGAGTATTGGGTTCAGGAGTAATCAAAATGATGGTTTTAAAACTTAGTATATTGACTTAGCCTCGCAATTTAATCCAAACCGCGTTGCATTTGCATGACTCCTTCCTTATTTCACTTTTTATAGGGTCCCACACTTTAGACGTCTTCAACAAAGACAGAAAGAGAAAGGGGAGGAAAAGTAGTCAACACGCAGACATTATTTTCTAGTAAAAAATGAGTATTTTGTAATTAAAGTTAAGAAAGAAAATTGATACTGTAAATTGTAGTCAATCTTCCAATGCCTTAAAACTTGCTAATTAAGTTGTAAGATAATTTAAGTTGAATGAGTCTTACACGATAACTTATTAATCAGCATCTATGGCAAGAGGTGAGAGTGAAGATAGGGCCTTAAACATCACATTCATTATGTGGAAAAGAGGATTGGATGAAGCCACTGATAGTGCAGATCAGACACAAATGTCACTCTCTTGAACTGGCCAAACTAGCCAGAGAGGTATTCAATATACCAGACAAATGAGATGACAAATAATGCCTTCAATTCAATCCAATAGCCAAAAGGGTTATTGACCGTTTCATTATGGAGTGTTTAGTCCGTTAGACATCAATGTCACTCACCTAGGTGACATTTACAAAGGAAATACGATGTTTTAATTTAAATAAGAAAAAAGAAAAAAGTGTTTAGTGTATAAAAAGGCTTTTATACTTAAATTATTTATTTTCACTCGTCCAAGGAGAATTTCTCCATTTCTTTCTTTCTTTCTCATTTTTATCAGTCAAGTCCAACCAACACAATTTCTATCACTCTTATTTTCCACTTGTAATCCAAATAAAGGATGAATATAATATGCACAAAAGTGGAGCCTACCTTTTGTATCTTTAATAAAAAAAGAACACAGGTGGAGGGACCATGTAATCCGATCCTCACTCAAAGCTTCACTAATTAAAAGAATATGCATATCTTTCTCTGCAAATATCACCAAATTATCAAGTATTTTTAGTCTTAATCAACTACTGCACGTATGACATGTATTTAAATTTTTTAACTTACAAAAATAATTACTTTCTCTTGATTATATGACACGTAAAGAATGGTTAAGAATTATATGGTCTAAAATTATCTAATAGTTTTAATTTACACCTCATGTTCATCCTAGTGTAAATGATGATGACTATAAATTAACTCACTTTTTGCCTCACCCCCTCATCCCAAGTGGGCAAGCTACTTGTTCCTTAAATTTCTCCACTACCACTCATCCTAAAAAATGGTGCACACCATGTTTGCATTTCTTAATAGGAAAGTAGCAGACGAGACAGTGGCAAAAGAACTCAAAGTCACGAAGGCAGTGTACAGAGATGAGTCAACTAACACAATGAAATCACCAGCACATGCAAAAACAGTAAAGAAGAGTGTCCGTTTTGCGGATTCAGAAGCTTCCATTTTTAGAGAGGAGAATGAGAAGAAGTTGGTGAAAGGAAGCGATGAATTTGGAGGGATTAGAGTGAAGGTAAAGATGACAAAGGAAGAAGCGTCTCGGTTGCTGTCAAAATGCAAAGAAGGAGGGATTCTCGAATTCAAGGATGTTGCTCGTGAGCTTGTGGCAATCCCACGAAACCGAGTTACCGTTGTGTCTGCTTTACACCAACGATGATACATATATATATATATATATGATCCATTGCTCAAGGTCTTACTCGTACCTCAATGTTGTTTAATTAAGTTGTACTCTTGTAGTATTATTTAGTCATGTTAATTCAGAAAATTATATATATATGTATCACAGTATCAGTGTACAATTCCTTCAGGATTGTTCAATTCTGAAGTTTTATGCTTTCCTGAGGAACGACGAGACCACAAGACGATGCAGGAAATCCATGCCATGTAATTATGTATTATAGTGAATTTACTCAGATTATTGCATAAGAAAGTTTTGTTAGTTCTAGCCTTTTATATAGGGGTCAGCATGGTTTCGTTTGGTTTGACATAAAAATCAGAACATGTGTTTAAGCATAGCCTCCTTCTATTTAATTAGTGAATGTTGCACTCTGCATCTTGTTTTCTGTGTCTTTGGGAGAAGAAGTTGCCTCAAAAATGAGGACATAGATTCCATTCTGATTACCTCTTTTGTAACTTTTTAATAAATAAAAAATATATATTATATAGTATTCACTAATTATACTATGTTTCTTTTATAATAAAAAAAAACTCAAAAATCCTTTAGTATTTAATTGCGTTTTAGTGTTCAATTACTTTTCTGCACATCTTCAATCTCTCTTTACTTTATGTAAAATAGATTAATTTACTTTCCCTTAACTTTTGTCTACTTCTGTGTTATATGTGTCTTTCTTTTTTTTTTCCTAGCTTTTTCTTAACTTATATAGACTAAGCAAGAGAAGAAGCTTGTATTTTAACTTTGATAGAATATAATAAAGGTTGATAGAAGGTGATTACCACAAGCCTTTTTATTAGGCTAATAAACTAGTAACAAAGTATAAATAGACAAACTTGCATTGTCTAGAAAACTTAGTAGTTTAACACTCCTCCCCTCTCCCAATGATAAATAGACACGTACACATTATCCACATATCATAGTATACGAATGCATGCACCAAAATAAACCAGCATTCATTTTCATTCCCAATGTTCCATCCAGTCATTTCCACAAAATCCAAAAACATTATTTTAGACTATTAATTAATATTAACCAAATTCTTAATAGTGATAAACCCCATTATATTCGAATCGCAGAATGGCGATTTGGATGGAGAGTGAAGGATCTTATCTGTAACCTTTCTAGAAACCTGCAAAGTTTGAATCTTCAAGCACTGACAACGTCAGACAACCACAAATTTCTTTCCACGCCACTTTCCTCTTCTTTCAAGTTATATACAATAAGATCAATTAATGAACAAGTTTTATTAATCATCCGTATGTTGTTACATGCACCATTCAATATGGGCAGTGCTTAATTTCCATCCACCCCACCTAACGTGTAGGTTCAGAATTATTAGCATTTATTTCGGTTCAGTTCAGCATCGCTTACGTTATTTGCATACAATAATGTTTGTACTTCTCTTGTTTGGAAGAAAACAGAAACAGGATACATCCATTAGCAATGTGTATTCTTTTTATTATTATCATAAAAGGACAACGATATGTGGTGCCTGCAAAATATAAAATAATACTTATATATACGCTCATAAACCTTATCTATTTATATGCGGATAGGCAACAATTTATTATGATTTAAATTCTTGATATGATGCCGATAGTTTGTAAAATTCTTAACATAGTTCGCAATGTAAAATGCATAAATACAAGAATTTTTTATACGACGATACATAAAACATTTTTTATTGTAAGTTTGTAATTACGTATGATTCAAAGTAAGAATTATTACGTATAAGACATCATGTTATATTAATTTTTAAATCACTTCATTCAAAGCAAGTAATGATTATTAGTTTTACAGAACTTAGTATCGAGATGAGAAGTATAACTCTTTACTTTTTGTTTGTTAAGTCATTATCAAATATTTACAAATATTATATATTCAATATTAATATTTGTTAATTGTAATTTTATCAAATATCTTAAATTTAACAGGGGTGGAGGAATTTATTTCTGAGAACGAACTCCAGTTTAGTGTCCAGATCCAAGTTATGTCTTGAAGAAAAAATTTTAAATAAGCTTCCAATTTTGCTGATCATGGTAGTAAATTAATCCTTTCATGAAAAATTTGTAGATTCTAAACTGAAGTTGCAAAATAAGTGGTGCAGACTGTTGGATCGAGCGCTTACCACTGAGCCAAAAGTTATAGCTAATAGTCAGGGCGCAACTCTTTTTACTTAAGAGCACAGCAGTCCAAGCGCCATGATTCGACAGTGACTTGGCCCACCTAGCCTCCGCCACGGGACAATTGATGCAACCCGCAACAATCTCCCCCTCAGCAATTGCCCTGCTGGGTATCGAACTCATGACCTTAACTCTGATACCAATTGTTGGATCGAGCGCTTACCATTAGGCCAAAAGCTATAGCTTTTGGCCTAATGGTAAGCGCTCGATCCAACAATATGTTGGGAAAAGAAGCCTTCAAACAGCCACAGTGAAAGCATACACACAAAAATAGAGAAACAAAAATAAACTCAGAAATTAACGTGGTTCGACACTTCTTGCCTACATCCACAAACACACTCTGCAAATTATTTTATTTCTCTCCACTTACAATTTTTACAAGGAAAAAAATTGCAAACCCTCTCATTCACAAGTTTTCTGGAAAAACTTGGAAACCTTCATACACAAGTTTTCTGGCAAAACTTGGAAACCTTCTCATGACACACAACTACCCAAGTCCCCAATACACCCATTGGAACCAATGTTTTTGTGGTGAGTGGACTCAAAACTATCACCCCTTATTTATAGTAGTAGTCTACCACTTTCCTTCTTCAAAGTACCCAATGTAAGACTTTGGAAGATACCACACACTTTGGACACAACACAAACTACTCGATGTGGGACTTTGGAGGACACTCACACACTTTGGGCACAACACAGACTTGTATTTACAGTTGTATATGTTTATTATTTAATTTAACAGTTCAAATTATAGTTATTAAAAATTGGAGATTTGTTACCACATTATGGAGACCCATCTCTATCAAAGAAGCGCCATGACTATAGCGATATATAGGATTCCACTCGTTGGTTTACGAATAAAGGGCAAAACAATGACGTACGTCCAAGACTTTTTTATCAAGGACGTCCCTTTTTTGCAATTTTATAATTTCACTATAACCATATTTTTCCAATTACTTTTAATGCTGAACCTGAACCACTCATCTTATACTTCATATGATAGAAATAAAATACACCAACAAAATCCAGCATAATTAATAAATAGTTTGTTAACTTTTGGACATGTGTATGGTGAATATTTTATAGATTAAGGTAAAACCCATAAGGATATATATCCCTAGTGCAAATATAAGTTTTACATATTTGTTAGAGCAAACGATATAAGTAAAAGTTTAGATTTTCTTAAAAATATTTTAGTATACAATTTCTTATTAATTTTATTAACTAAATAATATAAAAAAAACTTTAATATATAAAGACTTTTTTAAAAAAATTATCTTTCTTCCGATCTAAACAATGCTTAAATCTCCGACCGACAGCATGTTCTTTATTTATTTTCAAATCCCGTGTTAATTAAACATTAAACAGCACCTAATTCTCTATACAAGTTTGAATTTGAGGACATAAAAGAAGGAAAAAAAATGGCACTACTCACTAGTTCTACCGAATAAACAACACAGAACACGATAAGTTTAATCAGTCTAAGTAAAAATGTTGAGATGTTGTATGGACTATGAACAGATTGGTCTCTTTTCTAATATAATTAAAATTTGGGTGTTACTTAATCACGCATATATTCATTTATTAATTACAGAAAAAATCCTGAGTTTTATATCATGACAATGTTCTTCATCAAAACGCTAACATGATAATGTCATAGTATATATAATTTTACTCAACTGGGCTAGATATCAATCCACAAGAAAACCAGATCATTATTTGGAAGAAAAAAAAATTAAGAAGAATTGTTGCGAATATCCGTATGTTATGAAACTTCACAATGGGAAAGAGCATGAATAGAAACTAGCTACAGCTCCTTTTATGTTTTTTAATCGAAGACCTGCAACTTTAAAAAGAACAAGAAAGCAGAATAACTATATCTTCTATAAATTAACTAGTGCAGATTAATTCCATCTCTTTTGAAAGATGGTGTTTTTTCTCTGCTCAGAATGATTAATTACCATCTATATGAGAAAAAAATACGCATTACAAGTAAATGAGAGGAAAAAAACATTGATCAATTTGTACACCAACCAACAGAAATATATCCTTAATTAGTTCATGTTTACTAATAAATCGTTAGTCGGAATAATATTAAACTTAATTCTCTTAAGTAAAGTCCCAAATTTAAGTTTTATATATGTAAAAGACATAATTGAAAGAAAAGTTCTTACTAAATATGATAAATTAGATTCTCCGACAAATATTAATATGTGCAAAAAAAAATTTCCAATGAATTACCAATAATATTTTTTACCCAAAAATTAGTTTCCTTAAATTTTGATTAAGAGAATAAATTGAAGAAAAAAATAACAGACATTTGAATTTACCTCATTATCTCATTACTCTTTCCCTTGAGTTTTACAAATTGGGATCTCACTATCTACTCATTC